ATTTTCTCCCTGCATAACCTCACAACATCTTTGTAGCCCTCCTGAGTGGCCTGCCCCCTTCTTCCAACGCTCATAAACTCTCCTTTGTTTTCCTGAGTTCCAGCCAAAGCTCTCTGTTCAGCCAGGCCAGTCTTCTCCCCCACCAGGTCGTCTTTTGGCTCATGGAGATGGCCTGCTCCTTACGCCTTTAAGATTTCCTTCTTGAAGAATGTCCAGCCTTCCTGGACTCCTTTGCCCTTCAGGACTGCCTCCCAAGGGACTTTGTCAACCAGGCTCCTAAACAGGCCAAAGTCTGCCCTCCGGGAATCCAAGGTGGCAGTTCTGCTGACCCACCTCCTTCCTTCTCCGAGAATCAAAAACTCTATCATGTCGTGATCGCTATGCCCAAGACAGCCTCCAACCATCACACCACCCACCAGTCCTTCTCTGTTCACAAACAACAGATCCAGCAGGCACCTTCCTTAGCTGGCTCCCACACCAGCTGTGTCAGCAAGTTCTCTTCCACACACTCCAGGAACCCCCTAGACTGTTTCCTCTCTGCTCTGTTGTATTTCCAGCAGGCATCTGGTAAGTTGTAGTCCCCATGAGAACAAGAGCTAACGATTGTGAGACCTCTCCCAGCTGCTTACAGAATACTTCGTCTGCCTCTTCATCCTGGTTGGGTGGGCTATAACAGACTCCCAGCGTGATATCTGCCTTGTTGGTCTTCCCCCTGATTCTTACCCATAAACACTCAACCGTGCTGTCACCATCATTAAGCTCTGGACAGTGAAAACACTCCCTAATGTACAGGGCTACTCCACCACCTCTCCTTCCTTGCCTGTCCCTTCTGAAGAGTTTACAGCCATCCATTGCGGCACTCCAGTTGTGCGAGTCATCCCACCATGTTTCCGTGACGGCAATATATCATAGTTTTCCTATTATGCTAATAAGTAATTGCTAGGATCTTGAAATTTTTTATCTACACAGTGATAAACAGAAAATAATAATTGAAAAGAAAATCAATAGTGAACAAGGGCAGCTAACTGGAGGAGGAAAATGAAAAAAGGAAACCATCAGGTCTCAGATACAACTACAGAGGAAGGAGCTATCTTGTGCACAGTCTCGTTCTTTCTGTAGCTATGATTATTCTGTTGCCTGAACAGGACTATGGAAAAAGAACAGATGGTTTGACTGAGATTTTAAAGAGGTATTTATGTGTTTATATTCACATTGACAATTAAAAGCCAACATTTATATGTCATACTGCTTTTTATATCCTCTTTTCAATTTTGGATATAAAGGCAATTTATCCTATCATTCTTACAGCCATTATAAAAAGTTTTACGAAAGCCCAGTTTTACATTTTTGCTGTTTCTTGGCAAAAATATTTTGGCCCAGATCCCTTGGCACTGTTTCAGCCATATCGCATGAAGGGACACTAAAGCCGCTTAAACAGTCATTTGAGGATTTCTCAGGAGTAAAGAGCTGGCTATGCTGGCTTTGTGCCACTCAACGTGCAGCCCTTGGCACGCAAGAACTTATCTGAGCAAATGGAGGCACAATGAGGGGACTTCTGCACAACTTTTCACTCCTAGAACAAGTTAGAAAAAAAGAAAGGTGGAAAATCTCATTGCATTTCTAACACCAGAAAGACTGGAGTTTTTCTTCACATACACAAAAATATATCATATATAAAGTCTACTCACCAAAAATGTTTGTTTTTACAGTTATGGAGAGATGAGTGTTGTTCCTTAAGATTTCCAGAGCTTTTACAAAGGTAATGTTCTCAAAATTCTGTCCATTTACTTCCATTATCTTTAAGAAGAAATAAAAATTGAACTATTAGGAGAACAACTGTTTACAACAGAGTTACAAATACAAAGGTGATAATACAGGCACATGAACTTTCCAGAAATTCTCATATCATCTTTACAGCAGTTGTAGAATGAAAACGTTCCTCGTAAAATAACTATTTTCATTGTGTCAGTGAAGTTATATCCTGCAAACAAGCCAGGACCTCCATTTCCCCCTGACATACGCTTTAACCAAATTTATTTTCTGTGATAACATGACATTCTTGCAATTAGGAACTGCACCCGAATCAAAAATGGTGGATCATGAACCGTAGAACTGCTATTACATCAAAGGCCAGATCTTCACCTGGTGTGAACTGTCATTGTTCCAGCAGTCTCAGTAAACTGGGATGATTTACACTAGGTGGGAATCAATCCAACAAAACAATCTGATAGCTTCAACTTAACCATATCTCCAATCAGAAAGTTTCCTAAATAACCGCAATTCTGTTTCTTTTCCCATTCTGGAAATATTTACATATTTTAAATATTTTGAAAACTATTTAATAGAAACCCATTTAACACATGGGAACTGAACCTAAGCTGTGGCATTTACAATAGAATACTAACCAGTTGTCTGCTTGTAGTAAACAGCATATTCTTTTTGTTGGGAACACTACAGTTGGTTGAACCAGATTTTTTTTTTTATAAAAATAAGAGATGGATATTTTAAATTAACTTTACTCTTTTTACCTGATCACCACGCTTGAGTCCAGCTTCTGCTGCTTTACTGCCCATTTCCACAGTCTCTACAAAAATACCAAAACCCTTGTCGCTTCCTCCAAGGAGGCTGAAAAACAGTGGCGAATCTCTAGAAGGTTTTTGCAGGGTAATTTGTCTCCATTTTGCTTTGGCAGCACAGGCAATATTCAGCAATCTGAGATGTCCTTTCATTTTCTGTAACACAGAAGACACAAAATGGAGAAATGGAAAAACAGTTGTGAAAAAAACCCCAAGTGCCAGAAAAAGGACTTACGATGCCATGTATCCGAGTCTTACTAAATAAACCTTGTCCTCTTTTCCAGTAATGCAAAAACATATAAATGAGTGCCATATGTACTATTTTATATGGGCTTTATGTCTAAATGTATATTTAAGAACAAATATGTCCATGTTAAAAGCCATTTATTGACTGTTAAGACATGTAGACTACAATGTGTTAGTCACTGGTAACACACTGGAAAATGACAGCGTATAACATTAGAAAGTATGACAGTTATTCTTTTTTGTTCCTACCGTATCTTCCAAGTTCTTTTCAAATTCTTCCAGAAATCGAGTCATAGCAGGATCTCCTTCAAAGTCATTAAAATGATTGTTCACCCACAGTAAGACCACTCTGGTAACCTGTGAAAAAAATACCATCAGTCTGAAATCTATTTTATCCATCCATGTTATAAAAAAAGGTTAATCTATAGCAGTTTCTCTTCTAAAAATAAAGAATTTCCTTTTTTATTTGCTGAGACAGTTTTCTTTTACTTTCTTTTTCTTAAAACACAGAAGTTGCCAGAATGAACAGCATGGAAAAAGGTAAGAAGAGAAGCAGTAACCACAGCAAAAGACCCCAGACAATTTCCTACGCAAAAAAAATTTCAGCGTTTTGATAGTCTGTTGGGTTTCCTTCAGCTCAAAGCTAGAACACATAAAACCGCTGGCTAAGAATTTTACTGCCATAATTTTCAACAAATTGGACATGGATGCAAGTTCCAGACTATGAACATTTTTCATGTGTATGTGCATACAGTTACATAGAGCTGAACTTTGTTCTATTTATGGAAGCATTTTTATCAACTGCACCTGTTTTGAGCGGAGTTTATTTTAAGTACAGCGTTTGTAATAAGCTGCTCATACAAAATGTGCTCAATACACTGAAAAGCTCTACAGTAGAAAATTGTGGAAGAGAAGCACAATGCTGTTGTGAAAAGAAAGATGGTGTGTCCAAGAGATCACAAACACAATTTCCCTACTCTGGTGAAAAGGGATTTCAGAGACTGGCATTTACATCTTCAAATTAAACAGAAAACAGTATTTATCATTCTGCAGAAGAGAAGCAGCGCCATACCTATTTTAGGACAGTACACTATACACATACAACACACTGGAGAATCCTTTCTTGATACTAGTGAAAAATACTTAAAATAGTTCATATAAAATAGCTGGAACATAATCTTAGTTTATCAGCAATACAAAAAGGAATCAATTTGAAGACATTTTCACCATCAATACTAATCTCTTAGACTCAAACCAACCTTATCCCTGAGGCTGTCCACTGTGAACCATTCCAAGAGTTTATTTCCAACTTCCAGGGGGCTTGTTAGAAACGTTCTGTACGTTAAAAGGAAATCTTCGATGTAGGTTGGATCCACAATAGAATGTTCTTCTATTAAGTGCATGATGAGTCGCTCGGGTGTTGCCTTAAAAATTAAATGTAAAAAATAACTGATATCTCTCGTCACTACCTCTCTCTAGAGAGTATCTTAACATAAAACCATGTGAACAGTACACTCCCTTTTCAAGTTTCAGTTATGGCAAACTCAGGGTAAAACACACTAACGTGTTTAAATCAAATCTTCATGCTTCTCTCAGCCCAAATGCTTTGCATAGGTAATACCTGGCTAACACAATTAGTAACTTCCTTGAATTGTATTTTTAGTAAACAGTTTAAGTTCCTCTTCCAGATTACAAAAAACAGGTCAATACATAAAGATGCACAAAGGATGCTCCCAATACAAAACTCAATATATGTGCTGAAGAGGCCTAACTTTATTAAAAGATAGATGGAAGTAAATTTGTAAAATAATATAAATTCTTTCCAATCATTTTTTTGAGCTGAGACAGACAAAACTGAGTATGTGTTCTAGAATCAAACTGAAATTGTATTTATTTACTAATAAATAAAGGTTTGATAGATTAATGGAAAGCACAGAAAGAAATTCACCTTGATAACTATGTGTCCTTTCCTGGTTCCACTGCGATCCAGCTCCCTGTGCTCCTTTACCATAACAATTTCTCCTTCCTCCTCCACTTTATGAGTGTTTTTTTCCACATGGTTCAGAATCCTCCAGTAGTCTTGCTGGGCTATACACACAAACTGCCCCCAAACAACACAGGTTTGTTAATAAATATCCAAAACATGACTGTATTCCCATATCTCTGCGCTGCTTCAACACAATCACGATAGCATAGCATTTGATACCAACCCCACTCTGTTCTACCCAGCTACATGAGAGAGAAAGTTAGAAATAGAAGACAAATGGAACTGGTCACCTTCTCACATCTCCAAAAGGTTGTCTGAATGCGCTAAACATAGAGGACAAAGCCTATAAGAAGTGGAAATGGGTATTTTCTATTTATCTGTTCTTGCTGCATGTCAGTCACATACACAGCATGACTGGGGGGGGCTAAGCTTACATTGCAGCACAAAGCCGAAGTTCCTGCTTCTCCCACAACAGCAGCATGAAATAAATCCCAGCTACTAAAGAGTGTACAACTTAACTCAACATCAGCAGAGCCCTTGACTCAGAAAATACCAACCTCCTTTCTTCTGCTCCTGCAATGAAGATCATGCCTTAAGATGAAAGCAGCCTGTTCTCTTTTATTAGATGCTTAAAAATACAAATTAGTTGTACAGGATTGTAATCTTACCTGACAATCATCTACTTTGGTTCTGACCACCCCATTCATGTACTGTTTGTCCAGAGAGGGAGTAATCCCGAAACTATTTCCCATACAGAGACTCTCACTCTTCCCATCAGGATAGCTGATTTCCACCGTGCCATTTAAAATAACATACCAAGAATCAAGCTAGAGGAAGTAAAAAACAAATGTAAAAAGTGAAGCTAATTCAACAACTTCTTTAAGCTGTTCCAATGCTTTTATCTCAAAGGCTTATTCTTGCAGTCTCCAGTTTGTTGTCACAACAGTTTTGCAACATTTAATTCACAAAAAATGTGCACTGTAAGGCAAGCAATAAAGATGACTGAAACAAGAATGCTTTTCAGCATTCTTCATTCATTTCAGAACTAATTCAGTAGGGATGAATGCTGATGCATAGATTGCTTTTTTTTTTTTTTAATCAGTGGGCTAATTGCTACAATATATTTATACTGTTTCATGAGAACGAACACTCTTCCCCTGGGTACTCATTTGGTCACTACCAGAGATGAGAATCTATCTAGTCCTCCTGGAAGGATGACCTGCTATGGCCATTCCAGATGTCTTCATCCAAGGACAGAGAGAGATTTCAAAATAGTGATTCAGAGCACCTATGTTGGGAGCCTGACCACTGACTAATTTGAACATCTGTCTCCTCCCACTGAATATGTATGGGAACTGCTCTTAATTTAGACATTTATGTTATAATGCCTACATTGTTGGGCAAGGATACCTCTCCATGTTAGTATTTAAAAAAAAAAAAAAATATAAGACGAGAGTTATTTTACCAATGGAAATGATGCATTCTTCTATGCCACAAAATCTTTGAAATAAACTCCTCCAGATGTTAGCACTTACCTGATAACAACATACTGAATGCTGGTTTATGTCTATACTTGGCCACACTGAAGTCTTGAACAAGATAGTAACACCCAGGCAGAGTCTCCCAAAGGGATCGGCTAAGGTTTGGGGATTTTGGACATGGGTCACGGCCAGAGAAGAATTCTCTAACTTTTAGGTGTGGGAGAGGTGCGGAGATGGGAAACGGATTTTCCAGCCCTTCACCTCCAGATGCCCTTGCTAACTTACTGCCTATAGCATGCAAATTGTATTGCAAGCAGTAACTTACTTCTTGGCCGTCTTCAAGTATGATGGCTCCTGCTTGCTCTACTACTTCAAATATCATCACTGAGCAAAGTTCTCTTCTCACAGACATAGTCATGTTTGCAAAGGCAGGGAGTTGATGCATAAATTCCAATAATTGCTCTGTTAGACAAAGGAAACATAGGTATGATGACTGCAAGGCCCAGGGGTTCCTTAGATACCTTATCCTCCACAGGTATATTAAATCTCAGTTAAATTCATGGAAAAATTGCTCAGTGGTGTTACAATCCCCATTAGTGCCTGTGGCTAAACGAGCCCAGTGTGCATTTTGTCATCAACAAACGGAACTCAGCTCTACAGTCTGATCATGTTCTGATTGACTCTTACAGCAGCAATCTGGCTAGAGTGTAAAAGCACTTCAGCTTCAAACATTTAGAAAAATTAAAAATACCCTTACAGTACAGTAATTATAAGCTTGATAGGAGCATGAAATGACTTTCCAGTGTTTAGAGAAGTAATCTGAAGTATATAGCATAACACAAATTTTACTATTAAACTAATGACAATTTCTAGTTAAACACTGCAGTAAATTATTTTACTCTTTAAATGTTTTCCAGTTTACAATTATGTAAGTCTACACCGCAGTAATAGTATATTCTCTTTGACATTTAATAACTAATTCAACAGTTTCAGGCAGCCAAAATTACCTTGCTTCCTATCCCTCCCTTATGTCAACATGTACAGTGACTGTAATACTTAACACCTTAAGCATCTCAAAGACTGTTTTTTAAAATACTTAGTTTCTCAGAACAAATACTCTCTCAGATAGTAAGAGAAATCATTCAATTAACTAGAGCAAAGCGATCTCTGGAAGGCACCATTTCATAATGATGAGGATATACATTTAACATTAACTCATTAAACAGTTTTCAGATATGCGTCTCTTACAGATGTTACATGATATAGTTTTACATAGACTTTTTTTTTTTTTCCTCACCAATATCATCATCAGTTTTATCTGCAGGCTCTTTCTCAAGGCACTCTCGTACAACATCCCGCCCTAGAAGTGGATCTGAAGTTCTGTCAATATCTTCATCCTCCTCTTCTTCTTCATCTTCAGAGTCTACAGGCGCTTCTGGAAGACCTGTTAAATCAACGTCTCCCATCTCGCTTTCTGTAGCCTACAAAGAAAACATCCATCAGACAAAGAGTTCAATGTCTTCAGTTTAATGATTTATGGTCTTATCTTAGGTAGCTAATACAACAAAAGAAATTCCATGGGCAACAATTCAAATGAGAAATTGTAATAGCTCCCTTTCTGAACACTGAAAAAACCACATTATGTTGAAATCTACAGTTACAGGATGGTACAAATATATACCGCTGGCATAAAGCAACACCATGCTACAGGAATTATGATCACAAGTTCTGAAAACAAAATTAACATACTGGGACATTTGTTCTCTGTCTTTACTCATAGCCCTCTCCACCCTCAATGAACTACAGGCAGTATAAACCCATCAATATCAACCACGTGACACAGGAAAAAACAAAGCAGATTGAGTGGCTAAAATGAAAGAGATTTGATCTCATTTTTAATTTTACTATTACAACATGGATTTTAATCCTGGCACAGAGCAAGTATGTCAGGTGGAGTATATAAATTGGGGGCTGATTCTCATTTTATGGCATTTACTCCTTCTTGTGAATTAATGTAAACAAAATGTTTTTTCACAGGTTGAGAGTCTGTATTATTAATGAAATAATAATATAATTCAATAACACCATTGGTTACCCAATGCCTGTAGACACATTTCTACTGGCATCAATAGATGGCAATATAGACATCACACTGAGCAGACACATGAAGCAACGGTGAAAGAGAATGCAATACTGGCAACAAAAAGCAGAATCACATAGGAATCATTTGCAATAATTTCTTATGTAAAGTTTAAATGATGTAATTGCATGAAAATAAATTTCCAAACAGATGGAAGGCAAAAAAAAAAAAAAGTAATTTCAAATTTTCAATTTTCACAGAGTAGTTGCTCAATCACTTTTTTTTTAGCTTAAGCCAGCATGCAAATCATTTTTCTGTTCAAATTCAAAAATTTGAACAAGATGTATCACTGAAAGGTATAAGGCAACTATATACAGACTTGCAGAAAACTGAGTTTATTTTTTTAAAATGAACACGTTTATAATATTCACTTTCACTTTAAAAGAAAACCTTGATATTTTACAAAAACACTGGTCACAAAGTAATGCATCAAATACTCTGCACGTTCACAAAACGTCCAAAATAAAGGATGGAGTCCTGTCCAACCTGACTTTGAGCACTTCTAGTGATGGGGCAGCCACAACTTCTCCGGGCAACCTGTTCCAGTGTCCCAGCACCCTCATCATAAAAAATTTCTTCCTTATATCCAAGCTAAATCTACCCTTTTTCAGTTTAAAACCATTGCCCGTTGTCCTGTTACTACAGGCCCTCGTAAAAAAGTCTTTCTTATAAGCCCCCTCAAAGTACTGAAAGGCTGCAGTAAGGTCTCCCCAGAGCCTTATTCCCTTTCCTGCAGTCACTGGGGACTTCACCTGACTGCCATGACTTTTCCAGAAAGATGGAGACTGCCTTAGTAACTACATCAGCCAACTCCCTCAGGAGCCTGGGATGCATCTCGTTGGGTTCCATGGACTTGTGTGTGTTCAGGTTCCTCAGGCAGTCTCAAACCTGATCTTCTCTTACCATGGGAAGGACTTCGTTCCCCCAGTCCCCACATTGAGGTTCAGGGACTTGAGAGATGCAGGAAGAGTGACTACCAGTTGAAAACTGAGGCCAAAAAAAATTGTTGAATCTCTCAGCCTTCTCCATCTCATTAGTTCTCCTGTCTTATTTATGGGCGGGCAGGGAGTACCTTTTCTTTAATCATCTTCTTCTGACCAAGAAGCCCTTCTGTACCTTTAGAAGCCCTTCTTGTTATTCTTCACATCCTTTGCCAAATCCAGCTCCAACTGTGCCTTACATTGCCTGATCCCAACCCCACATGTCCAGGCAGTGTCCCTATATTCCTCGCAGGGTACGCGTCCCTGGTTCCACTGTGTGCATTTCCTTCTTGCACTTTTGTTTGACCAGGGGGTCCTTACTCAGCCATGCTGGTCTCCTGCCTTCCTTGCTTCATAAAAAACAACACCCATTTTAAGTGATTTAATCACAGCAGACTGCACTGCCTCCATCTTCCTACACGCTCCATGTTGATCGGCTAATGCAAGCCCCAGCACTTTGACAGATGAGCAGCATTTCCTTCTTTCACTAGACACAAAAATACTGGGTTTTAGATATAACCTTGGACCTTTGAGCTTGTCCTCATTTTAATAATTAGCCAGCAAACCTAATAAATAAGGCTTAAATGATTTAACATAAATATTTCTTTCAGAGGAGGGTAACAATATATATAGGGTTAAATCTGTTTTACATTACATCACTTCACTGGCTTATGTAGCTCACATTAACAGTTTTGGAATTAAGCCCAAGTGCAAATTGTGCTTGGAGAGTCTCAGCAGCACATGAGCAGTACAGCATTTTATTCAAGGACTTTTCTAGCATTTCTTCATCTAAATAGCCACAATGTATATCAACTTTTCCAGGCAGAGTAAAACAAGACTACAGTACTAATTCCCACTTTGATAACCTCAAGCTAAGATAACAAAACTGAGGCTATAGGCTCTACAGAAAAGTGATTTTTTAAAATTTGCATTGTATATCCTACACAGGACAATAAACAAATCTTCTCTTTTCTTGATAAGTTATAATTTGATCAATCTACGAAATAAGATACGGTCCTCAAGCTGTGTTTCAAAGATTATGTGCAGATGGTCGACAAAACGTTGGCAGGTCAGGCAGTGCTGGAAGGAACAGGAAGGATTTTGCTCATAAAGCTGTCTGCACAAGTAGCTGCTCTTCCCAAACATGATGCCCCAGCTGTTTCCATTATCAAATATCAAAAACATTTATGAACTACTAATTTACAAAATGAAACCAGAAGCTGCAATACTCAAGTCTTACACAAATATGGATTTTTCAGGATTGGGTCTATAGGGCAAGAATATCTATTGAGAAGGCAGCAAGAACAGAGTCAAATGGTGTGTGTCACGTAGATCATCCAGAAAGTTAACACCAGTTTACTGTCAAGACATTTGGTTGCTATTTTAAAATCATATTATTATTACTCTACATATAGCACTGCAAATTTTGCGAATTAACACATTTCAGCTACGTTTGCCAAACGTTGATCATGGAGACGTCCTGTACGCTGGTGTACGCTTTGGAAGCCAAAGACCTAAGAACCAGCCCTTGCAAAGTTTTGGTGGTAATGATATGTAGTCCACTACAATGTGCATCTGAAGCATACACTGACAGAAAAAAAGTATTAAATATGCCTCATGTAAACGATTTCCTGTGCGGGAATAACTCCATATGATAATGTATTTTAGTACTCATGACTCCTGATGTAACCTGCTATTAAGAGCGAGGGTTTTTTTCCCCTTCCTCTCAGGTCAATTCTGTCAGGGGAAAAATGTCCAAGTGTTTTTTTCAGAATTGGTAGAAACCCCCTCAGTAAGGCCCACTCCCTGATGCATATTTTATAGATAATCCATTTTAATATTAAAACCTTAACCACAACTGGGATTATTGCTGGGCAACAACGTTGCTCCCCACAAATAATAAATACTGCCAGAGTGATAACCGAAAGATTTTTAAAATGGAAAAAGAGAGAAAAACTTTAAGCACACCACTGATAGAACTAAAGAGATAAGAAAAAATAGACACACATTTTCTGGTCATTAAGAGAACAGCATTGCAAGCTATTGATACAGGCAACTAATTCCTTAAAGCACGAGTGAGACCCTACCCACCTACATCCAGAGGTATGATCTGGATTACCTATGTTAGCACGGCTGGCCGCCTTAAAGCCTGTCCCGTGAAAGGGCAATGAAAGATGTTTTCACTCTGTAATACCTGTTGAATTAATTTTCCCTGAGGATACCTATTACAGGTCAAAGCAGCTGTTTGCAGAAGTTATAATCCCTCATTTCAACTTCTGTATGGATAACCACACAGCTTCCCCTACATCTGTCTAAACACCATAACTCTGAAACTAAGCATACCGTCAGAAATGGGTTGAATGAAAAAATAAAAAATAATAATAATAAAAAACCCCCCACACTTCAAGCAAATTAAAGAAGTTTCTTTAAAAATGGTAGGGAATAACTTCTTTTTTTTCTCCATATTAGAAACAAAGTCTACAGTCCAACAGAACAACAACTGCTCTGCAGTATTCCAAGCAAGTTGGACTTTGCCATACATACGTTTGGACATTTTACCACATAAAGACTGAAAGCTCCAACAGGGAGCAGTAACGGTACAGGAGAAAAGTATCTTCATACATTTATTTTCATAAGCTCCTGCAATTAACTGAAGGTTTAATACAATATGCTCAGGGCAGTGCTTACAGGCAGGACTCCTTTTCTGCTGATCTCACCTTAAGCTTTGTGTTCATCATTTCCTGTGTAACATCCTGGCCTGAGAAGCAGCTGGAACAAGTGAAACCTCATTTCAACACTATCCATGAATATAGTGTACACAGATGAACGGAAACCCTTTCCAAACCTTAATAAAAATTGTTTCATTCTTTGGTTCTACTATTTTAATCATATTTTCCTATTCTGGAATTACATTTGCACTACTTACTGTAAAAATTAATGTTAAGATACCATTAATTCAAAAGGTCATTTCAAGCCTACATTAATCAAAATTATTCAAAAATGCTCTTCCTCTGCTGACATTAATGATACTCCTAGAGAGTTTGGCATGTAATAGATATGAAGCTGACTGCAAACACAAAGCATCAAATACTTCACGAAAAGCTGTATTTTAATGTACCAAAAATGCTTTCAGCTCCTGAGCCAATACATTATACTCAAAACGTAGGTTTATTGTGTATCAAAATGATTCTCTGCCTTCATAATATCATGGGGGAATACTGGAGGAAACACTTTTTCTCTCAGATTTCAAAATCTGTCTATATTGATGCATCACGGCAATATAATGCTATGTTAAATACTGTGCCATGACATTATTACACAGTATCTATCCATGCACTTATAGCTGGGTGACAAACTGTAAGAGACTTCTCCAAAACTGTTATAGCTGCTGTGATAAAGACCATAACATACCCACCATCCTTTGACAGGTTACTATTCGCACATTATGCGTACGATAACAAGATACGAAAAATTCACTAAAAAAAAATAAGACGGGAAAAAGAACCAGTGGGTTGTTGGGGGTTTTTTCCCCCTCATGACATGCCTGTCGCACATCTCTTCACTCACAGTTTATCAAATGCTTGATTCTCCAATGCTATCTTTCAGGATTAATGACACTGATCGTACATTGCTGTACTATTATCTTTGAAGATCTCACGTAAGTCTAACAGTGGTAACCTGCCTCAGACATCACCCTGGCTGGCCGGAAATTCTCAGCAAAATTTACAGATGTCCATGTTCCCTGCAGGATGCAAAAACAGATGGGCTAATGTCACTGAACAGAAGATTCCTGCCTGAAAGGTCCTCACTCCTCAAAATTAACAGAAAATCTGCAGTGATTTTCACATTAATAAATTCATAATTCCTTAGGGTACAAAAATATATTTCACCACTGTTTGTTTGATACAGTGCACATAAATATGCTACTCCCTTATTTCTTTTATTTATACAATTCTCATTTGTTTAGCAGTTATGCTCTTTCGGCATTTTCTGAAGAGTGGACATAAGACATTTCAAATGCAATTAACCACACATGACAGAATATTCACTCATTACTAGAATGATATTTTTGTAATCAATAATATATTTTAAGTGCTTTTCACTTCGAGCAACCTCTCCAAACTACTCAGGTAGACAGGCAGGCAGACGATGGTCAGGAAAACTGTCCGTCAGCATCCTAATATATGAGATGTTAAGGTACAATACACAGACTAGTTCTGGTGACACTGACTACTTAAATCAATTCTTGTGACTCAGAAAACGTAATTTAAAAAAAAAAAAAACAAAAAACAAAAAAACCAAAAACACAAAACAAACAAAAAAAACCCACAAACCACCAAGATACACAACAACAACTTCCAGCACACTCTCTCAGAAATCAGAGAATCCATAAAGCATTTTGAAAAGACTCTCAGGGATGCAAGCTACTCCTGACCTAGCTGGCAGCAAGCACATCTAAAGAAGTAGTAAGGTAATAGATTAAATAAGACAAAAATGCATAGAGACACTTAACACTCTAAAAGAATTTTTGGTTTTAATGCCTTAAAGTTACCTAGCAATACTGTGCTGTAAATAGATACATCACTAATCTGTTTCCAGTATAGAAACAGTAACCGGACAGTACCCAAGGAAAGGGAACAGGTGTCTAAAATCGAGTTACACCTACATTGTGCTCAACGGTTGCTCTATACTCAGTATTGTAGTCAGATTTCAACCTGAAAGTGGAAAAGCTGTGAAATTACTGATCAAGACAAACGCAAGATGCGCACCCTCGTCAACCAGAACAAAAAACCCCATAAAACTAGCTCTGCAATTTGACACAAGACAGGTAACTTATTAAGTATATTATCTGTAAACAAGTGAAAGCTATCTCTGGATTTCAGACAACTCTTTTTCTCAGCAAGCAACACTAGAATTTTCACAGTTGATTAGTGCAGAGTGCATTTATTACCATGCTTTTGTTTGCAGAACAGAACATCTGTTATTAACAATAAATACATATAATCAAGGAAGGTATTTGAAACACAAGAATGATTTCATTAAATTTGTTCCATTGCAGAAAGAAGGAAAATGATCCTATAAATCATCAAATGTGACTTGCCACAGCACACTTGTTGGTATATAAAGATGTGAAAAGCAACAAAAAGAGCTTTACAAGAAGTTTGTTTCACTTCTATGTGGCTGTGGAGGTGGCGAATCCTGGATAAAGGGCCACTGTTTTTGTTTATGGAATGTTTTAACATCAAGGAAGGAAAAAATAAGAAACAAACGCAATTTTACCTGATAAATATCAGATAGGCTGCTGCTCCCAGAATCACTGGCAATGCTACATCCCGACTGGCTTGAAGGGACGTGAGTCACCTGAGGATGAGGATTGTCGGTAAGATGCATCTTGGTAAGATCAGCTGGAAGCTGTAAATAAAATGGATTTGGGGAAAGACAGGAAAAAGAAAGGAAAATAAGATGTATAAGTTTGATATGAAAACACAGTTATTCATGAAACTTTTGTTACACGTTTGAACATCTACCTGCAACTTGACGTACATTTTGAGAAAAAGCTAATTTGGACTAAGCTTGCCCAATCCCGTTCAGATTTTATACGGCTGATAGAAAACGATGCACCTTTCTACAAAAGAAAGGTCTAGCCTCTTTATAGCTAACTGATACACACCAAGAGGATTAAGAGCACATAAGATGACAAATAGATGATGCTGGCCAAATAGCCCAGAGTCTTAAACATTAGCTTATGCTGCAATCCAATATGAAGCAGGAGTCCTGTTCATAAATTCAATTCATGTCTTAGTTCAAGAATAACCTTTAGAAAACATCAATACAGACCAACAAGTAATGTAATCTAAACAACAGTTTTGGTCCATAAAATGCTTTGAATTTTCTTTAAGAAAATGAGTACACAGAAAGAATATTACGCGTTCTTGGTACCTGTATGTACAATAGCATTTTTATTCTATAAATCGATCTGTAAACAAACACAGGTATATAGATATATAAATTTTAGTGCATGATTGAAAGCCCACAAACATGTTCTTTCTATTGAAAAAAGTAAGAGTCAGTAGTAGGCTTTTGAAGAATCAAAGCCACATAGAATACTATAAAATAACCAGTCTTTTAATTCAGCTGCTCATTTATTTTCCGTCACATATATTTCTAATATTTTTTAAATTTACACTCAACTATATGGAAAGAGCATTGTATCACAGAATCACATTCTATGATAAAATGATAAAGTGTATATACTTTTACCATTTATAAATGATAATATTATATACTAGTCCTTTAAAAAAATGTTCTGATACAGAAAAAAAAACCAAAACTACTCTGACAGCATCAAATATCATGATCAAAATGAAACCGTTTCTTCTGTAAAAAAACCAAAATTCCAGACTTGTATCAGCCACTAGATATTCAGTCCTACGAATTAAAAGACAGTATTATACAAATGTTATTGATCCAATGTCAACTTTACAAATACTGACTAAACTTATGGGAAATGGAAACCAGATCTTCATTTGGAATCACATTTTTATGTCCATTTTTGAAGCACACACAAGAGAAGCACTTTACCAAATACTTGTTCACATATTTTCTGAAACAGTAAGCGGCACTGTAGGTCTGTCCAAACCTTCCCCACCCCCAGAAAAAAAAAAAAGTTGAGAGCATCTCTAAAACACATAACATAATTTTGATTATCAAATTGTTATGAGGAATGTGGGGGATGTTGTGTCATCTGTAATTCCCAATGACATTCTCATTGGCAATCGCTACTCAAACCCGACCACCCTATGGGCTCTAAACACCAGCACAGATCCTTACTTGCAAAATAACTCTGGGAAATGAAAGACTACAAAACTATTTTTCACTATCCTAATATTTGCATTATTCTACTTTTATTTATATTTTACTTACAAAAATAAAGTATTAAATATCCAACCTGTAAATTAATATCTATGTTCACATGTATTTGGAAAAGGAGAAAGTTTGCTAAACTCTCAGTAACTCCCATAAAAAACCTCCAAGCATTAGGTATAAAATAGTGAACTTGATCCAAATACGAAGGAAACACAACACTTTGAAGCCTATGTTTAGCCACCAAAAACTTTTACAGGCTGAAAAATCTATTTTCAGGATTTGAGAATGGCAAAAAGGTCAAACCACTCAGCTGACAAAATTCAATCCAGTGGCCAAAAGGTACGCTCGCTATCTCTCAGCACATGCGGCAAGAGCTGACGTACACCGAGATATGACCTCTTAAGCAACGACAACAACAAAGTATGAAAGTGAAGCAGGGAAGTTGAGATTTAATTCTGGTCTGGAGCACTAGCTGGTTACTTTTAAAATCCAAATGAATACTTCTACACTACACTTTTTTGTGCCGTGTACAGAAAAGCACTATCTATCCTCTAATGGACACGAGGCAGAAAGTGTTACATTAGCCTCCTTAAAGCCTGCGGCAATTTGGACATTAGTTAAGCCACCGATATTTCAGCGATGTTGACCACGGTGCTGACGGAGGTTGTTCCCCGGCTTTCCCCATCTGCTGCCTCCGTTACAGCATTCAGCAGCAGCGAGCGGCAGCCGGGGTGGCCGGAGCAGCGTGTGCCGCAGGGTGACACTGCTCCCTGGAGTTTCACACGTCAGCCGGCTCCTCTGCAAACACACCGCAGTGCTATCGTCCACGCAAAAAGATAAAGGCACATACGAGCAAGGTCAGTGCATCATTTGCCAGGGAGGACGACATCCAGCAGCAACCCAGTACTTGCAGGCAAATTACGAGGCAGGGCTGCTGGCAGTCACTGATACCCTGGAGGTCAGTGTAACTGAAAAATCCAGGAGTTTTAGTTAATTATGGAACAAATCAACTCACACAGATTCATTACCCCTAGCTTAACAAGAACACAGATTTGCTGCAAACTCCTCAGCCTGTCCCCATCTTTATAACCTCCCTATTCCAACAACCGGCTCCGAGTCCAGCTTCAATCAGATTTCTTTCCATCCATGAGCAAGTCCCATGCTGACTGTGATAATACAGACACAAGGAAATCTAATTTAAGCTCCCTGCCATCCAGATTCATAACGATTTTCAAACTTTCAAAATGGCTCCAGGAAAAAATGAGCAGGACCAAGCAGAAGGACCGATTCTGCAGGATTGCCCAGGAGAACAAGGCAGATGCCTGCTCTCAACCAAAACAGGTGCTATTGAAGCCCATTCTGGCTCAAAGACAGCGACACACACACAGATACACACTGCCACATACAGTTTTTCTTCCCTAATTTAGTCTAAATTTTGAGATTCCTGTGACGAAGGCCGTTCTGTATACCCAGGTTGAGAAGTACTGCTGGAAAAAGACACCGTTCTCAAAATAAAAAAGTTGTGTATGTACTCTGCATCCCACTGTCACAAATACACATTGAAGACCAACTTAAAACACCACTAGCCTTCCCGAAGGAGTATTTCTAATCAACTCATTAATCACTTACAACTGATCTTCATTCCCCCTGCCAAGCACTCCCATTCATTTCCATCACCTATACAGCACATGGGCATGTACGATGCTCCTCCTGGACTCCGCAATATGTTCTTGTAAAAGACATTTAATGTAGGTTAGATGCAAGGAAACACTGCAATATCTCTTTAAATTTGAGAGAGAGATAAGGTTTATTTGAGACAAGTGACCTTTAAAGTGCTGCTTGCCACTCTACTCCATCTCCCAAAATAAATCACAGCTTCTGTCTTTGGTATGTCATTTTTATTACCCAAACTGATTGTTTTTCCTTTCAGAGCTCACTAAGCAGCTATACACGGACAGGGTGTTTCTGTAACAACATGACAGCGGACACAGGAAGGACTTGCTGGATGTGGTTGTGAAGTTGCTGAAAGTGCTATAACATTGCCTTAACTATTGGTGAATAATGTTCCCTTATTATTTGACCATGATTTTTTTGTGGGAGAAACTTTGAAACTTGTTACAATCACATCAATATCTTGAAAAATTATGTGTTAGTTAGAGGCTTTCAGGCACAGACACATATACCTGCATCATCTTCTGGCTAATTGTGTGCCCCAGCAGCCACAGATAGGAAAACCCTGAACATCCATGAAATTCCGAAAAACACTCAGTACAGAAATAGACTACTTACTTGCCACTTTAAACCATAACAATTACATTTTTTCACAAGAAGGGATAATCTGGAATTCAAATACGACTGCGTCCGACACGCTGGCACAGCCAGTCCCTACATCGGTGCCAGCGCATCCTTGTGACTGACCTTTCCCAGCAAAGAGATATTTAGCACAACCCCCACCCCCCC